AAGCTCAGGTCGGCCTACCACAGATATTTCTAGGTGTCCTAGTTTGTAATACTCCTCAATGAAGTCTACATAGGCGGACTTAAGTTCGGGTTGCTTGCGAAAGCGACGTTCCAGGGTTATAAATCGCCGCCTGGCCATGAAATAGGAAGTGCCTAGGCAGTCTGGTTCGTCGATCAATGGCAGCGTGACACAAAAACGACCTTCTTCAGTGTGTTTTGTGTGCTGTAAAAAAATGTTGTTCGCAAACTTTCTCTTGGTCCATAAGAAAAGGTTTTTTGGGAAAAATTTCAAGCTCCCAAAACCTCTTTAAATCATTGTGAAGCTCAACTAAAGTATTGTTGTTTTCAATACTTACAAAATTACTTTTAACTGGGGAATTTATATTGAGATTGTCATTTTGAATATAGTGCATGGGACCTGCGATAAGCCATCCTAATTTAGAATTATGTAGAATAGGATTTCCTTTGCCTAAAGTGCTGTTTGGTTCCAATAATGGACCAAAATAGGTCAGCACCGATGAGCAGTCCTATGTCAGACGGCTCATAACAGCTGGGGTCTGCTAATTCAAAGGTGTGTAATAGACACAAGAGACTTAGGTATATTTCCTGATATTTCGGGTATTACTAAACATGACGTCGTAACGCTGAAAGAACCTACTTTTGAATGAATTCGAACATTGCAACGTTCAGCATTAAGCTTGACAATGGTGTTTTCAAGCTTAATGCTGAACGTTGCACCTACATTCCTAACATCGGATGTGGATGAAGTTAAATTTAACTTTGATTTAAGTGCTTCTGTAATAAAGCTAGATTGACTGCCGTTGTCTAAGAGAGCTTTAGTAGTAATGTAATTGTTTGTTGTGGGATTAAAAATATCAACCAAAGCCGTACATAATAGTGTCTCTGAAGCAGATGACATCGAAACTGGCTTAGAGACTGTAACATTAGTGACTGCCACATTAGTATCAGGATCCGTAGGTTTGTGTAAAAATGTATTGTGACGTTTTTTGCATATTCAGCACGTTCCTGGAAGCTTGCAAGCGCGTGTATTATGGCCTTTACGTAAACAGTTGGGACACAACTTTAGCTCGGATACTAATGAATGTCTATCATCAATAGATTTCGATTGAAATTGTGAGCACTCATAATTACGATGACCTTGGCTACAGAAAATACACTTGTGAGACGCGGTTGATAATGAGTCGCCCTGCTCAGCGCTAACGAAAGACTTAGTATGAGAAACGGGATTTTGTTTGACGCCTTGATTATTATTCGGGTTTGACTTTATACTTTTTTCTTGTTTATTTCGGTAAACAGACTCCAAAACTTCAGCACGGCCCTTAATAAACGTTATAAAGTTATCTAGGCTAGGCATATCGGAACCATTAACATTATCTTGAATGTATTCCTCCCATTTAACACGCGTATTGCTGTCTAATTTCGCTGAGAGCATGAATACGATCAGGGTGTCCCAATGATCAGTTGGTTGTTTTAAGGTATTTAAAGCACGTCGGTTTTTTGTGAATTGGTCTACTAAAAATCTTAATGACTTGTCAGACTCACGCAACGGCTCAATATTAAATAATGTTAATCAAATGATTATTTATTAATAGACGAGTATTATTAAAACGCTCGCAAAGAAGGCTTCATGCTTCAGGAGAATTACTTTCGCAAACTTCTAAATTACATATGACACGAGCAGCTTCGGCTTCTAGATAGGAATTTAAATAATGAAATTTGTGTATGTTTTTTATTTTTTGTATTATTATGTATCAGAGAACTGAACGTATCACGAAATTAAAACCATTTGTTGATCGTACCATCAAACTTATTCATTTTAATGACTGGTAAACGAAAGCCGATAACTTCGTGATCATCTTCATCAGCTGTGTTAATACTGCTGTGCTGAAGCGACGACTTTTTTGTCGTACTGCTTACGGAAATAATTTCCTGAGCCAATGCGATCAAATTGTGGAAAGCTTGTTCGATGAATTCTCTGGTATCTAATTCTAAGCTTAAATTATTTTCCTCCAATGCTTCAATTTGATTCTGCACGTTATTTGATTTATTTCGTTATTACGAGACTTTATTTGGTGAATTCGTCACCAAATAAAGTCTCAATTTTAACTAATCGCTGTGATAGCACGCTAACGAGAAAGCTTTTTACCTTTTAATTCTTCTAAATGGTTATTAAATTTCGTAACACGGCCTCTAATTGAAGCGCGTTTTAAATTATGAGATTTATACTTTGCCTCCATACTGGCCAAGTTAACGCGCAAACAATTAAAATCGCCATGTAATAAAAACAACTAGTTAAGCGCTGTGCTAATCAAATAAATAAGAATTGCATACGATATGCTCCCCGCTATGTTGCCGCTGTGACGGGAACCGAACCGCAGCGCAGTGCTTGCAGTGACACGGGATGCGATAATAGCCTCGAGCGACCGCTGCGCCGTAGCTGAAGTTGATTGTTGGAATGCTTTGTAGATATCTACGTACATAAAATAATAACGGAAAGCATGATTGATTGTAAGTTTACTTGATTTGTGAAAATAATAGTTTAATTAGCGTAATATAGGGCTTAGCGAATGATTATGCTATAGTGAATTGGCTATTAAGTGATAACTAATTTATTTGCGTGCATAAACAGCTAACAGTGGATAGCGAGAAGTTAATTTACTTGCATTAAGAAGTTAAGCTCAAATTTTTGCGTAGCTATGTACAAAATACAAACGTTTAAAGAATTAGGTTCATCTATTTAAATTCTAACTATTCAACAGTGGGCACCAATTAATTACATGCTAGTAAAGACTTTCAAGTCGTAAATAGGCGCAATGAATGCAAATTATAGGCGGCTTGAAAAATAGCACTAGTAACTAGCAAATGCTGCGGCGAAATAATAGTAAGGAACGATAGCCAATTAGCTGATAGGTAAGCAAATAAAAGTAAATAGGTGATTTCAACTCGTTGGGTATGTAGATTGCAGGTAGGTTTAACTAGGTAATTCTTTTAGGATTGGGTTAATAGGTATTTTATTTGGTAGGATTATTGAGTAGGAATAGTTTGTTTAGATTAGCAGTTTTATATGCGAAAGGGTATAGGATAGACAAGGAATATAAAAGATGTTGCTTAAGAATGGGTAGGTAAGGTAAGGCAACAAAAATAGGATTAGACTCCTTGTTTCCCTGTTCACACAAATAAAATGTTTTAGGAATAGTGGGACACGAACAGAACAGTGGCGCGTAGACTCCGCTGGACCTCAGCTTGGCCGGTTCTCAATAGCTGCCCTCTTGTCTTCTCTCCGCTTCAGATGAATTCTTCTTGACCGCTTCGTTGTTCTTAGGAATCGGGATGGTACGCCGATTTAATAATCTTCGTAGGAGATGTAGTAGATCAGCGCGGCTTCTATTGTTGGTAGCTCGTGGTACTTGCGTTTGCGACGTTGTAAACGCGTTGTAAGTGCCACGCCCTTTGACCGTACTACGCGGCGGAATCGGAGTTCGTTATTTTAATTTATCACGGTCGCCACTATGTTCATTTAGGGAACATGAATAAAATAGGCGACTCACACGATAGGCAAATTGTTTATTTGAATAATCAAAATAAAAACTAATTTGGTGGTGATCGGGTCGCGAGCTATCGTCTAGTGACGGCCTTAGGCGCGGTGATGAGAAAACCCCCCGCGCTTCTCGTACTCCCCGCGAACACCGTTGGTGCTGACGTAACGGCGCCGACAACATTACACACCTTCCTACACCACTCACACCTACCATTTACTTGCCCCTGAAGGTACATTGTGGTCGACCCTACCTCCGGATCTCGGTAAGTTTGTGTTTGCTTATCCAGCCATTACATAATAATTATCCATAGGCCATTTGTGCCCGAACCCTCGGGTTGCCCGTCGAGTTGGGTTCCTATGGGCCCTAGCCCAGCCGACTTCTGTCGGGGCAACTGAGGGCCGTTGACAGCACTTTACCAGCAACGCGCACGACGTGAGTTCTCAGGTATATTCACATATATAAACGGCCGCGGAGTGAATCTTTCTTCTAGCCGTCATAATGTGGGGAATAGGATTGAAAAGGGACAGGCTAGGTGGGGGGAAGTATGCAAGCGTCCGTTTGCAAAATATCACAAATAGTTAGGTAACTAATATTATGTTATACAGGGTTATTTTTAATTTACTGAAGACCTTTGGGGAATATATTATTTAATTATAACAATAACATCTGGAAGAAAAAAAAATACATTTCTTCAATTTTATTTTCACACAAAAATAAAAATATTTTAATTGGCAGGGTAGGTGTGGAGGTATGTAGGAGGCGGCGCTTACTCATTTAAAATTCACTTAATTACCTGTGTCGTCAGTCGCCTTTGATGCGCCCGCGACGCTTGTACTTCCGTTGTGAGATTAATATTGCGAACGTTACATTGTTACGATGGCTTACCGATACTCAAATGTGAGTATACTGAAATGTAAAGTCATTTAAAGTGGTGCCCTGGTGCAATAGGCACAGTGGTGAATGGTTTCGTGGGCACTCGCGATGCAATCAGCCAACCGCGGGCCACGACCGACTCGGCGGCGCGTAGCAGAAGTCATACTTTATAATTACCTATTATAAATTTAAATATTTGTGATTTTTAAATTATATTTGCTTATTTAGTTATGTTTAATGACTTCAACACGATGTGTGATACTGATATCAAGTGTAACATAAAAAGGCACTTTTTGCCGATTTAATCTGAAATTTTTGAAACATGACAACAAAAATATAAAAGTAATTTTTTTCGGAAATGTATAGAGAGTGATCTAGCTAAAATTGTTTGTAATGAAGCAACCAATATATTTCCGAAAGGTCTTTATTAAATTAAAAATAACCTTGTATAAATAGGTGTTTATTTACAATATAAACTTCATGATATTCAATACAAAGCACATATTAATTAAATTAGTTTATTTAAATCATTGTTGACATCTTCAGTCATTCTTCATAAGTAATTCGTTCACTCTGAATAAGATTCTTCCTCAGTCTCCATTGGAATGACTTCTTGTATTTCTTCTTTCTTCTTATTTCTAGTCCTGAAAGATGGTTATAATATAGAACCGAAATGCAGTATTTATTGTCAGAAATTTTAATTAAAAATGAACAATTCTTAGCAAAAAGATGTTTTATCACGTCTTTGGCTACAAATATTTGACACATCCCTGATACCAACCGAATATATTACATTACATTACATGTTGCAGGTATGTTATGGTTGTAGCACGAACGGATCGGCTCGACCGGGGTACGGCCATGCTCTCACAGAATACTAACGTAAAATCGTAACTTAATGCTGCTGTTTCGAATGGTGAACGTAGAGAATCGGTGACCCATTTTACTAGAAACGAGGCATTCGATCTAAGTCCTCGGAGGTGACAACGAATCTGCATCTTGATTATTTATCGAGTGTAAATGTAGATGTTTATGGACCACAGCGTCCACTTACAACCTGGCGGATTGTGTGCTCGTTTGTCACCCTCATTCTATAAAAAAATACTTCTTGAGCTCTGCCATTCAGATAAATAGCGACCCAATAGAACCCTTATTATATACTGGGTGACTATTTTTATCGTCTGGAAAATAATATGATGTTTTGTGTATAGAAGCTATTCTCGAAAGTATTTGTAAAATATAACAAAATATAACTATAGTTCTTTAAATATAGCTTGATTAGAATAACAGCTGTCGTTCAGATGTGACTAGTGTTGGGAACTTTAAATCGATATATCGATAAAGTGTTCATAAATATTAATAAAAAATATGCTAATAGTTATCTTAACCAAGTATTTAATTATTCAAATTATTTAGGAACACTGGGACTTATTTTGGGCTAATAAAAAAATTTGCAATAACAAATTTATTGACACAAGGGTTATTACAAATAATCAAAGCGGACTTCACTTTGACAATCAATCTTCTGTAATAATTCTTCGCGTTTTATCGACCACCTTTTTGAATCATTTGTGTTAAATGTTCACATGTATTGTTCAGCAAATAATCATGCCCACTTTAGCAGGTCGCGTCTACCTACTAGTGTTGTATAAAAACAATTATTGTTTATAATGACATAATAACTTATCATCATTTCATTAAGAAGCCAGGACAAATGCTATTAAGTAAATAAGTTTTTTAAGTAATAATAGCTGTCAGATAAGGTCTGTGCACTTATTTTCTCTCCACACCGCTTTACGTGTGTAATAAGCGTAGATGTGATTACGAATTGCTATGTCGAAATCGTCTATGTAAGTTACAGGGCGTCGTTTCTTTCTCTTTTTATTTGAAGTAGATAACTTATTCTTCTCGGTTGATGTATCTCCAAATTTTTGTTTGCTGATTCTAGCCACAGTAGCTCTTCCAGTTCCAAGAGCCTCAGTAACTCTGTCACACTTGTGACACTGGCAACAGTGGTCCGCCATTTTGGTATTCACATTAAAAATAACCACGCAAACGAATCACAAACTCTTAAATAGTTTTCTGGTTATTTTGGCATTATAACAACAAAGGTAATAACATAACAAAAACCATATAATAACAAAATAGGAACAACAAATACTCAAAACAACGAAATAAACGAAAACTTGGACCCAAAGCGTACACAAGGCGTCTGGCGTCGGCACTCGTACCGACCACAGACCAGATAGAGAAAGTACTGACCGACGCTCAAACAAACAAAATGACGCCTTAATGTGCTCAGTGTTTCCAATATTAAGAAAACCAACGCATGATTTTTTTTGAAAAGAAACATTATTTCAGAAAGAATAATTAAAATAAATTTATTTTATTGATTAAAACTACTTTTACGGATTTTATCGCGTTTTATTTATATTAATTTTAATACCCGACGTTTCGGGTGCTTTCCAGCACCCATGGTCACGGGGGGACTAAGGTGACTGACGTCCCGATGTCAAAGTTAACCCGGAGTACCTTCAGCTTTTTAATTATTGTCTTTGGTCCGATCTACGCAGAATGAACTAACTGTATTTTGAAGTCTTGCAGTGTTATGCTTGGGTTTAGTTTTAATTTTATTAATTATAGGATCCCAAGTAGGTGGTAGTACCCAGCCTCCTTCTCTATTGAAATTAGGATGTTTTTTTAATTTCAATAGCCTCACGTATCATCCTTGGTAGGAATCGATGTTCTTTCGCGAGGATTTGTGGTCAAATCTGATGTAATGGTTGGGGCCATCTAGAATATGATCGCAAACTGCAGACTTCCCGGTCCCCGGAAGTCTGCAGTTTGCGATCATTTCTTCATCAGCATTGCGCCATGTCGATGAAATTATTTTTAGCAATAAAGAGTTACTCAATGTTGAAATTATTGAAACCGTATATTAATACCGTTTCAATTGAAATTTGTCTGGAGGACATTAGTCCTAAATTTCGGTCAAGGTGGGCTCTACTCAGCTTCCCGGTCCCCGGAAGTCTGCAGTTTGCGATCATATTCTAGATGGCCCCAACCATTACATCATATTTGATAGACCACAAAGCCTCGCGAAAGAACATCGATTCCTACCAAGGATGATACGTGAGGCTATTGAATTTAAAAAACATCCTAATTTCAATAGAGAAGGAGGCTGGGTACTACCACCTGCTTGGGATCCTATAATTAATAAAATTAAAACTAAAAAAAAATTTTTAGAATCAGCTGACGCGCTATGCGTTACAAAAATATATTTTTCTCGTATAAGTATTTAGGCACTTTTGATATTTATTTTTGATTTTGACTGCCTCGTTGGTCTATTTGTTGTAATTGTATGAAAGCTGATCATGAGGTCTTGGGTTTGAATCCTGGGTCGGAACAAATAAAATCAATTTATTGAGACTTTCTGTCAAGAAATTCTCGGAAGCTGTAGGGAGTCAGGAAGTTGGCAGTGTCTCACCCCGGTGCCTCGGAAATCACGTAAAGCCGTTGGTTGGTGGTGGTTCTTTCGCGTATAATGTTAATGACCTTAAATCGTTATCTCGATTATAATCGATTACTGCCTACTAATACAAGATCAGCATATACTACTTATCATTAAAATACTTGGTCAATAAAAGAAAAGGATTTTAAATAGCAGCACTTCTCATTGCCACGCTTTCATTAATAATGCCGTCGCGAGTAGCATGTTTGTAAATAGCAAGAAAATGTGAAACAGAAAAAGGTAAGGAGGTAAATTACCTTTCGTTTCAGATTATTATTTTTGTGATATCGTTTTTCATACTTTTACGGGCTTAGAAGCATCTAATATGATGTAATTGAGTATAATTACATGTTAAATTTTATCTTGCATCATAATGAATTGATAAAGATAAACAGTTTTTATAATAATTTTTATGCCTACCTTGCACATCATGGCATATTTAAAAGATCTACTTATTTGCAAACTACACGGCACATACTACACATATATTTACATTCACAAATTTACAATACTATTGTGATTTACAAATAAAATGTCCCTTTTAGCGATATCGCAGAAATTGTTCAAAATGTCTACAGTTTCCTTTTAAACACAAACTAATACATCTTTGTTAATTGTTTAAACTTCGAAGCGAGTCTATCACTTTTTGTAACATTAAAAGTGTGTATTATACGCTGCTTTAAATCACTAAAAGTTTGTGCTTCTTCTGTGTACACTAATCGTTTTAGTTCGGCCTATAAATAAAAGGCTTAGAAGTGATCTCGCCGGCCAATTCACAGGTCAACCGCGACCAATCCACCTATCACCGAATTGGCTCATTATTGTTAAATACTCGTCATTAGAGTATTGGTTCATGTTTACGATACACACGCGGAAACATAAACAATATGACAGCAACGCAACGTCACGCCGCAGCTAAACATAGTGCGCGGCAGCGGCCACAGTGTGCTGAGTGAGATTGCCGACAGTGGGAACTGGCCATTGATCAAAAATATGAAAAAAAAGGATAAGTTATATTTCTAACATAGATGTAAGTTTTACTCTACTAGCAATTCCTATGGATTCAAGTTGTCCGAAATAAACTATTTTTATTTTATTTTATTTTTTTATAGGCTTGTCTTCCATTCACCTGTTACACCCTATTTTTTTCCAGACGATAAAAAATTTCATCCAGTATGTAGGAACGGCATATGACACGATGAAAGAAAGGGAATGTTACATTGATGATAAGTAATTACGAGCGAGCAAAGATGAGAAAATTAGGCATGGACGATTAAGACATAGAGTATAATTTATTCTTTGGTATAAAATATTACTATGCTCGATGTAAATGGAGAACGGAGGTTAAAGACGTAAGAAAAGCCTGAGTCAATTGTTTTAACATAATATTGAATATTGAAAATATAAGGAGATTGAGTTAGAGGACGTTTTTTTTTTTTTTGAAGACCCAATCCCACATATATTGTGTTATCTATAATGTTATATGTTATTTTATATGTTTGGTTTACTCTACAGAGGGACACTAACCGTTTCGGGTAGGGTTGTTTAAGATGGAAGGTGCGATAGTGCAGCTTCATGCTACTGTCTTGTGTGAAACGTTTGTCGCATAGCGGACACTTGAACGGTTTCTCACCGGTGTGCTTCTGGAATAGAAATATTAATTAATTAAATCTCGATAATGCGAATCTCGTCAAGTGGTTATCCTCAGTAAAACGAAATTGCCATTCCCTTCCGCTGAACCCCTAAATATGCGGTATCTTGAATATTAGACTTTGCAACTCGAACTTACTTACTTACTTATCTTCACGCACAATCCCTAACGGGGTAGCCAGAGAGAACAGATCGCCAAGTGTCATGATCCTTACATACCTCTTTCGTCTAGGTATCCGAGTACTCTTGACCTTCCCCTCTTCGAGTAATTTGCTCACATGGTCTTCGAAAGTTAGTCTCGGTCTACCTCGACACCATTTAATATTTACTTTCGCGCTATATATTTTCTTCACCATTCGGTCTTCACTCATTCGCTCAACGTGCCCAAACCATCGGAGTACGCCCCTATCCATTTTTGCAACTCGAACAATATGTTATTTCCCTATTGATGGTACATATTTGTACTCTATAACTAGAATTTAAAACAGCAGACTCCGTAAGTCGAAGTTAATAAAATATGATGACGTCTTTACTTAGAATTCACCGAACTCATAGCAATATAATTCCAAAGGAATGTTTGTTACTTCCGATTTCTGCGTTGTGCGATATTCAACCGTTTAAGTTAAGAGATCCCCATAGATTGCCTCGTAGGAATATTCGCTACAGTTAACACGCTTAGGAGACAGGTTGGCAACCGCAATTTTTTACTTTTAATTGTTATTAGGAAGACTACACGGCTTTAAGAGGTAATAAAGGGTAGTGGCGAAGCCTCCATAGAAACTGAAAAGCCAGCCATCAACTAATAAAACAACTCGTAAACTGTTTCAAACTATTTCAAATTTCCCGCGCGCTCCTCTGTTCTACACAGGTCAAACCTCGTAGCCTTATAATGTAACGTCAACACTTGGCAGTTTGCTTTTAATTCTAAATACACTGATTCGTGTTCTCTTTGTCTTAAAGCGAACACGTAATTGACTGTCAAAATTAATGACAGCACGGAGTTGATTTAAACGTTTAGTCGTCTGTCTCGCACGCGTGGGCTTGTTACCGGGTTTTCCAGAAGACGATCGCTCCCTTTCTAACCTGTGGCAAAATGTTCTACAATGAAATATAACTATAAAAATTTTAAATAGCAAATTAGTATGCACCAAAAAGCCCGGCTTTCAACGCGCGGGCGATACGTTTGCAAGTTCACTTCACATTTCAATGTTTACTCTGTATGTTTTTAGTGTGTCAGTTGAAAATGTATGCTTTTTAAAGATTTTTAGTGAAAATGGAGGATAATAGTGTTTCTTGTGATGAATTGAAGTGTGTTAAAGTGCTAATCGGCGAGGAAAAGGTAAAATCTTTAAACTTTGTTGAGAAAATACACAAGGTCGTGAACGTCTTTCAGACTTATCAATTATCGCAATTGAAAAACAGTTATTGGTACAATTAAAACGTTCACCAACATTTTACGCGGAAGTAATCAAATCTTTCCTTAAGAAAGAAAGACTATTCGATTTAGAATATAAATAATTTGTTTTTTTTTTTTAATTTTGTACATTGTTTGTACTTCGTTCATGTATAGTGTTGTATGTAAATATCTTTTTCTTTCACTCAGGCAAACCCAAACGGATTTTTTCAAAGCCACCGAAGGTATGCAAGTGCTGATATGTCATACAATCTATCTAGCAGTAGTATGCCATCTGTGTGCTTTGTTAAACACGACATCGACAACACTGAATATGAAACTGAAGAGTGGAGACAGATCAAGATTGGTGTATTTTTATAAAACTGCTAAAAACAACAAAACCATATCTTGGGCTTGTCCTAGCTTCGCAACTGATAAAGGGGAACTGAAACAGAAGATGGACATCAGCATCTTCCTAATAACAACTCAAAAAGATAAGCTGCAGTGACCATAATTGCCTATCAAGCGTGGCAACTCTGACAAAATCCCCCTATAAGGCAATTTATGGGGAGACTTGTGTTCTGCAATGGACTTCCATAGGTTTTAATTGATGGATGCAATGGATTAGGAAGACGATAATGGCCATATCCTGTTTTATTTCCGTCCGTTGCCTCTTACCACACCCACGTAATGTCATGAGGTAGCACCGCGCCGCCGTTTTAGATTAACGTGGTAGAGCCATGCTACAGCTATATTATGTTTTTTTTACTTATCATAAGCCATTGCTTGACCACAATCCCACGTGGTGGTAAGTGGTGATGCAGCCTTAGATAAATCGCACTGTCTTAGCGTAACAAATGCCTATTCACTCTTGCCTTGAAGACGCTCAGATTGTATTCGGACGGAAAGATGGACGCCAGAAAATTATTCCACTCCTTTGCTGTACGCATTAAAAAAAATCAAAGTGAGGACCCGCCGCCTTCCTTGTCGTCCGATGGTGGAAAGGAGAGGGGGGAATTAAAGCGTGCAATTCCCGCGCACACTCACCGAAATGCATCCCATAGAATACCGAAAGGCTGGCTACTCTGTACCTGTGCTCGAAGCTGACAACGTTGGTGTCTACCAAACCAACGTCACTGAGTCCAACGCTGCCATGTGGCATTTTGCAGCACTAACACATATGTGACAGCAGTACTCCATTCACGGCTGGACTTGCGTTTTATATAAGAAAAGAAGCTGCCCCAGCGTGAAGTACCGTCGCACCCTTGCAAGGACACCAATTTTACTTGCGGCTGCTTTGGCTCTGGACTCAATGAACCGCCCATAGTTGAGGTTCAGAGAAAATCCAACCCCTAACAACTGAAGGCGGTCAGTGTACTCCAAGGATACATTCCGGAAAGTAGGAGCCAAGAGGAGCGGGCTTCTTTTAGAAGTAACAAGATACGCTTATGTTTCGGAGGCGTTGAAAGGTAGGGTGGGATTCACACGCTCAACCATAGCTCATTCGGACTGGAATTGATCCCGACTGGCCCGTGCACTTGGTTGATATGTCTCCACAACTGTGCTATCGTCTGCATACCGGGTACAAGCAGATCATAATATACAGCAGGAAGATAGTTGCTGAGAGAACGGAACACTGAGGAACACCGACGTCAGTCACCACAGGATACGGTGAGCAGCCATCGACGATGACCCGGAGAGACCGTTCACTCAGAAAGTCCTTTACCCATTCCTTTACACAATCAGACCAGGGGGTAAGCCATACGCTGGAAGCTTACCCAAAAGGCTAGGGTTCCAAACTCTGTCAAAGGCCTGCCATCAAGAGAGACAGCAAGTGTTTCCCCACTGTACTCGAGTGCCTCGCCCCATACGTGTGTGTCATACGCTAGAAGGCCCCCAGCTGACCGATTTCGTTGAAACTCGTATTGCCGGTCACTAAGGAGGTCATTCTGTTCTAGGTATGCCATTAAGCGGGCTTTCAATATACACTCCAAAATCTTGCAGAGTATGGAGGTATTGAAATTGGCCGATAGTTGGCAAGATCGGTACGGCTTTACCTTTTTTAGGTACAGGCTGTACATTGGCCAGCTTTCAAGATTTGTGCACTATTGCAGTCCTGAATGAGAAGCGAAACAAGCGCTTCAACACAGGAAACAACTCAGGTGCACAGACCTTTAGAACTACAGCTAGTATACCATCAGGTCCACTAGCGTTGTTCAAGTCTAGACCTCGCTTCAAGGTTTTAAGAACCTTCTTGTTGGTGATACGGACCTCCGACATACCGATATACCGCTGTTGCTATCATCCAGACGCGAATTGTAAGCAAATAAGTCCGCTTGCTCCTTAGGCGCATGCGCCAGTGAACTGGTGTTACTGGTTTAGACCGACAGAAGTTTGTCTCGGTCGCTTTGGCCAGAGGCCAAAAAGCTCGACTGCCAGATGGTTAGACAGAGAGCTTTTGTACGGATGCGTTGAATGCGGTTGAAACTGGCTTGCCGTAATGCCTTTTTGCAAGAATTGTTGGCTTGGTTAAAGGCTCCCTTATTAAGGTTAACATCCGCAGCATTTCGGTCTCGAGAATCGATCCAGGATTAGTACGCCATATGTTGCTTTCAGCACGAACGCACTTGGTGTTGATTCATGGGCGAGCTTTAACTTTTTTATGATTGTAGCACGAATGGGTCAGCTCTATCGGGGATCGACCACGCTCTAACAGAATATCTGAGGGATATATCAGCTGAATTCCGTTTTGTGTTTTGTGTGGTAAGTGTAGAGAACCGAATGCCCTTTATACTGAAAACGGGGATTACATTGCATTTTGATTAATCGAGGATAAATGTAGATGTATTGGGCCACAGTATCCACTTACCATCAGGTGGACTGCGTGCTTCTTTATTTACTTATTTAACCTTTCTTACACACCCTATGGTATTATTTACCTGTCAACCCCGGATGATTTGAGAAACTGTGGCAAGTTGAAACAATCACTTCATAAATTTAATAAATAAGGAATAAAGATAATAGACGAAAGGTTTATTTATTAAGCCTTTCGATATACTAATAGCAATTGCAGGTGGCCATGGGCCACTTACCATCAGGTGGACTGTAAACTGTCAACCTCTTGGCGCACTGACTTAACAACGAGTTGCCGCGCTGAGTGGTTCGGGTTCGAATCCCGTACGGAGCAAGTATCTGTATGGCCTATTGTCCTTGTGACATTTTTATACGTAAACTAATTCCACGATACAGGGCAAAACGTGTGTAACCTTTTTTTTTTTCAAAAAGATTATATATTATATATATTATATATTATAAAAAGGTCGGGGTGTGGATGTATCGTGGACACAGCCACTTGTTTTACGTGAACGTGCACGTAACGAAACGACCTCAAAATGGCGGCACACCCTCCGCAGTCCTCACTCAAGGTAACGAATTTTATTATCCTTTAGCTGTAAAAACTGTAAAAAGTAAAGTCACAACCTATATACATCCCACAGCTGGGCACAGGCCTCCTTTTATTTCTGAGAGGGGTTAACTATCGAGTGGTGCAGATAAATTTTGGAAGTAGATGATAGATATGTTAGCTGCAACACCAAACTCTATCAGCCGATTTTGTTATCATCAATTTTACTAATTTACCTCCTCCTAAGGAAGGAAATTTAAAGATGTATTCACGTCAAAACGACATTAATACTAATGTTATAAAGAAGATACTGACCACAAGATGTCGCTTGAGACTCGCAGAGGAGTAGAAATCTCGCCCGCAAGTCTCGCATTTGTACAGCTTCTCGCGCGTGTGGATATTTTGATGCATGGCTATACTTCCCGGCTAAAATATAAAACACTTAAATAAATTATTTGACTTTTGAACGAAGTAAAAACCGACTCCAAAAAACTAAAAAGAACACGTAATTAACTTCGGAAGTCGGGGGCCTTAAGGCGCGAATTTCCTATTGAAAAGGACGGTCTCATCAACCAATTAGTGGCCCCCTTTCCTTTACCACACCTCGTTGGGTTCGGGAATCAACGCGGTGGGCGTGAGTCCTGATGAGACGTTCGACTTAGAACCTTAACCGCTCTCTCAAAAGAAAGTGGTTGACGACTAAGATCACGGGCCTCTAAGAATGGTCCAGATCCTGACGTCAGTCATGTACTTAGTAGACTGTATATCTTCGTACTTCCCTACTTTTATGGTGGACACTGAATAAAACAGCAATTGTTCGTAAATGGCCCTTGGAAATGTAATACCGAACTTTCACTACTTTCACCTTACTTTTCCTAATTTCGTTTTCTTCCTCGATTTATAGGTGGAAACTGTAGCTGGTCCCGAACTTCCCTTGCTTGTTGTCTTCTGCGTGGGCTAGTGCCCAGCAGGTTTCGGGCCTCGGGGCATTCCCCTTTAGGGTAAGCGCAGACCAAACCGCAAAATGCTCGCGCATGCTCAAGCTAAATTTTGACTACTCGACCATGCAGGCGGCATCCGCGCGCCTACGTGAGCAAGATCCATTGAAAGTGCTCTGGGTTGCTAGGGGGGCGTACATAACCAATTTGATGCCAAAATCCGACGTTGATAGACGTGTTCAATATGATCGGTTGAGACTTGGTGATTATCGCCCTTTTGGCAGAGGAAGAGAAACATGAAGAACATATTAATGAAATCAGACTTCAGAAAATTAGAAGAACAGTATAGGTAGAAGAAACGTGGAGATTCTTTCCCAAGCATTGGCTTTTAACATACGATCGCTGTATGTTAAACTTGATATATTGTACAGACACTCAAAACGCTGCACCAAATTTATCAACTTTTTTTCGTCCATGATTCGGACTTATGTGACGTGCTTAAGGTATAAACTAAATAAATGTCCAAATAGTTTTTTTGCTGCGGCAATAATAGTTGTTTCGGAGCGCGGGGGGCGGCGGTGCGAGCGCGCTCGCGCATGCTCGAACATGCATCCTGCAAGCTCGAGCATGGTCGAGCATCAAGTTTGGACGTGTATATAATTTTGCACTGTCTGTCAATAGTCATAAAATTAATATTTTAGTGTTCTCAGAATATGCTTTGCTCTGCTCTGCTCTTGGTGTGCGCTGACCCTTACCCGGACTTTCATCACGGCCCACCATATTGTGTCGGTCCTGGGTGCCTTAATATAACGGTGATTATCCCTACGTAGTTGGTTAATATATATAAATTAGGTTAGTTGTCTGTTTTTAATGTCTAAGTTGGCCTTTCTGTGGCATTGTGGGCTTTAATCGATTCTCTAATCTATATAAAGAGGAGTTCTCTTAGTAGGGGTCGCCCGTCCGGTGATGTTTATCTCGCGTCGCCAACACCTATGTTAAGGTTTTAAGAAGCCCGAGGAACCATGACGAAACAGAGACCGCAGTCTATCACCGATGTCGACACCATCTAGCGGCAACGGGCGGTACTTCCTCGACAAGTTCAATACTAATAGACTGCAGAGGGAATAAGTATATTATGACTGTGCGCTCGTTGGCCACCCATATTCTATAAAAATCGTGGACTGTTTATGAACTTTTTTAAGAAAAATAATCAGCCATGCAATATTTTCGTCTAACTTTAACTATTAACTCTTTGCACACTATGAAAGCTCTTAAGAGGCACGACTTTTTCCGACTTAGTTAACTTGTATCATGAAAACCAATATGTTCATACATAATATATAGCTGGGGCGACGCTGTCGTCGCGCCACAAGCGAAACGCATCGAAAGCCCAAATCGCGCTGCCAAAGTTCCGAAGTAAAAACATATAGGATATAGAATATAATGTAGAATAGGGGTTGGGTTTGAAATTAAGTCACCTGAATTTGAGGATACTGTCACAGTGTGGGGGGGGGGTTGATTTAGGGGGTTTATCTGAAGCACCCCCATGAGATTGTTGCTGCCGGAGCGGCTTCGAAGTATTTTAAATTATTTTTTTAAAATATTGGTAAATCACTAACTAAACGTGAAATGGAACGTACACTTAACCAAATTTTAACGTTTTTGACGAGGCATCTGTCAAAGTCATCTCAAAATGCGTAAAATGAAGCGCTAGGCCGACCATTTTTTGACAGTGACAGATATACTTTACATTATTCCGTTGCTTCCGAGTTCACGTGAATGTGCTGCCAAACGTTTTCATCTGCCTCCACCTGATTTTCGACGACTTCGCTACCCCTCTGGATCCTTTTTTACAAATGGTGCTAGCTATATATTATGTTTATAATTTAAAGTAATTGTAAAAGTTAATAATTTGGTGTTTTATTGAGTGTAAGAGCGAGCGAAGCGAGCTCGGGACTTAGGGCACCCCGACTCCGACAGGTTAAGTTAGAAGGGCGAACGAATAGACCCTGCCATCCCCTTCTTCGACCAGGCTTCCCATAACTGCGCTACGTTGAGTGGCGTGGGGCTTCGCTCCCCCAACACTCTGTCCTCATAAATCATATTTATATTGTCAAAACATTACGAAAACATAACCTCAAAATGAGATTTTAAAAAATTTATAAAAAAAAACTAAGCACGTCCGGCAGCGGAGAAGTTGAGGGTGACTCTTCAACTTCCCCGTCTCCCTCACCACCACCCCCACCTCCTAATTCAGGCGACTTAATTTTAAACCTTTACAAATCACCCCTTTTCCTTAAACGGCCAATTAGCTTTTGTCCATCTGGAATACCGTACCTTTCTAAAGGTGAAATAATTCTTCAATATTGTGCAGTTGTCCCGGTGATTACGCTCCACACACAAACAAAATTCGCACTCTTTACAATATTAAATAATATGAGACTCACCGCAAGCGAGGCTCCGCAGATCTCGCATATATGCCTCTCGTTTGGCGGAAAGATGGAAGTCCTTGGATGTTCCTTGAGATGATGATTCAAATACAGGGTCTGGGAGTCGAAGTGTTTACCACACTGCAAGCAAAAGTAATACACTTAAAACCATTTTGTATAAATAATGTTTTTATTATACAGAATTAAGGCTAACAAACCTTGTAGTAGCGATAAAAGATATCCAATAGACCCTGTAACGCGCTCTGAGTGTCGTAAGAGGCAAAGGTAAACTGCCCAGTAGTAATCATCTTCTGTGTCAATAAAATTAAAACTAGAGATCGGCAGCATGGAAAGATGGCTTTCTAATAAAAATTCAAAATAATAAAAAGTTAGGGTTGCCAACCCACTTGCCAAGCGTGACAGCTATACAAATACCTATGAGGTAATTGTGAAGATGTAAATTTTCATACAAAAAGCGATAACGTTTTTCCTCTCGTAAACATAATCTTATTTTCAAAATTTGGAAATATTGTAGATGTAATGAAAACCTAGATCCGTACGTTTTTATTTTAACCCTTCAAGCGGCATAAAAATCCCTTACAGTTACATGCGCCCGGCAAATCCCGAGCGGTCGCATGCGACCGCACCGACCCACAGCACTTAAAACCATTAAACCTTATATTTAGAGACTACTTTTCTATGAAGAAGTTTAGTATTATAAAATCTATACAAAATTCTCTATCTTGTGGTCTAAACAAAATTCAGGTTTTACTTCATTACAAAAAGATTTTATTGTATTTCGATAACAAAAAAAAACATACCAAGCTAATGTCGGCAGCGTGAAAATCACAATTATTTCCATATATATTACTCGAAATTATTTACGTAAAAAGATAAAATTATATTCACACAAGAACTTTCATTACAATTTTATAATAAAACACTATACTAAAACACTATAAAAATCTAAAAATCAACACAATAACATTCACGTGAAAATGGCGTACGAGATGAACATCATAAATATTCATAGTTTTTTATTGCACTAGAGGATAGAGTATTTCATATTGATTATATAATGCCAGACTTCTTAATAGAAAAGTAGTCTCTATATATAAGTTTTTATGGGTTAAAGTGCTGTGGGTTGGTGCGACCTCATGAGACCGCTAGGGATTTGACGGAATATGGCCGCGGTTTCATGAGACCGCTAGGGGGTTGAGAGGTTAAGGAAATAACGCGTACGATATAAGTTATTAGCATCTAAATAACTATATATTTCACTTAAAACTGAATTACTAAAAAAAGGAAAACGTACAGACTTAAATTACGGTATATTAAATCTAATGAGACCAAAATTGTCTCATTTCGTAAAGGTTTAGGGAGAAACGTTATCAGTCGAAACAACATTTTAAAAAGAAAATGTAGGCAATTACTTTGCTACTCTCTCTATCGCACGACGGTGATACGGAGCGAGCGATGTGAAATAGATAGCATTTTTGAAAATACGTACTCGCGCCGCGTATCGGCACTTTTCAATTCTCTTGAAGAGGCTGATGGTAACAAAGGTTACAAATTTAATCGTAATGAAATAAAACGTGTGTGCAGTTCACACATGGTAGAAGTAATACCTTCAAAAAATTGCCAGCAGAATTGCTTTGCAATCTACTTCATTCTATAGGTAAAGTCATTTCATCAAACAAAATTTGATTGACTCTCAAGGTGGTACGTAAGACAGACGAATTGATGGCCTAAACACCACTAACTTAAGGAACAAATCAGCAATTTATGTAATCGTGGATTGTTATGAATGGAATCCAATCCAATATTGTTAATTTTTATTTAATTATTTAATAGTTTTGTTAATTTTATGACTGTTTATGTTAACAGTTTAAAGTTATATTACCCATATTCAAAGCACCGCACGAAGAAGAGACCGAGATTATAGGAAACACTGTATACTACTATTCTATCTCATTCTTTCGCAGGTTAAATTCTTTAGATATATACAACACGTACGAATTAACTTGAGACTCCGCTGGAATGCGACCCCCTTCCCGACTCCCCGCACCGCGTCCCGCGCTGGCCGTGCGCGCTCAGTACCGATAGCATTTTTGTTACGGATACGCGTCTCGACTCTAGTTGGATATTTTTGATAATTGTTTGTTGTTTGGTTTGGACTTTTGTTTGTTTTTGTTATACTTGAACGTTATTTTATCTATTTGTTGTTAATTGCGTTGTTTTATTGTTAAGTTTGGACGCTGTGTTGTGCCGTTTTCTTGTGACGCTTAGGAGTTACTCCGCCTTTTTTTATTTTTAAAAAAAGATGGGAGGAAAGACAATATTGTGTACGAATCTGTAACACTTTTTATAATGCAATAAAGTGTATAATAAATAAATTAATAATATTATAAATGAAAAAGTGTGTATGTTTATTTCTTTGTCCTTCCTTGACGCGTTAACTAAAAATAATATTATATATATATATATATATATATATATATATATATATATATATATATGTGTGTGTATATTATAAAAAATAAATATTTGAAATATATAAAAATGGCAACAGTATATCACTTATTACTTCACCCCTTGCGAGAACATTTTATTTTGTTTTTATTAATAATCTCATACAAATCTCAAAAATTTCAAATAAAAAAAATATTACGACGCATTATTTTGCACACCGTACATTGACAATTACGTCATCGGCCCAGGTCTCAAGTTAATTCGTACGAGTTATTACGTTTGTCTCATTTTAGTATCAATTTTCGTTTCATCGAGATTCAAAACACAACTAGTCGATCACGAAGATTCGTTCGTTTGAACTGGTACACTTAAAATTATTGATGGTTCATTCATCTGTTTTTGAATTTTCCGGTACAACCAATCACAAACAATTGACGGAACCTTTTTAACTCGTAATTGGCGTGAATTGTGAATGAGTCGAAAACCCACCGAATCTCGAATGATCTGAATGAATTGTTTTTAGTGTAGGGTACTAGAGCCTAAAATGATCCATTTGATCGATAGATCCGAATGTACCGGAACGCGTGTCGAAATGTACTAGAATGATTAGGTCACGAGAAATTAATGATTGATAGATGTTTAATCACAACGATTCTAAAGAAGCTTCTTTCCACTTTAAAAACAACGCAATTGTGGAATCGCATCGGTAAACGATTCCCACATTAGTTACATAATCGCAGTACATGACTAAACTTTTAACTACAAGGGTCTCCTTTTGATAATAGGACTTTTTTCTACCTAGTGTTCCGTCTAGGTACTCACACCCTCTTACTTATCTCTGCCATCAAATAGCAATGCTTGCACTGCTTTATTCCGGTCTAAAGAGTATAGAGAGTCGTATTGTTAGCCATAGAAACAGACACAGAAACTTTTTTAATCAATATGGATTATAAATAATACTTATTGAAAGTCAGTTTTTTTTTACTTACCACTGGTTCGCAAAAAGAACCTCTGTCTTGGGAAGAACCAGCAAGAAACCCAGCGGGACAATATTTTTGTTAAATACCACATACAATCATGTATGTTACAATTAACAACACAAAACAAATTAGTGGTAGCGTTAACCCTTCCCAGGGTTTATTATCATCCATAAATTCCTTAATATTATATAATAACCCTTTTTATACAAACTTAGTTTAATAAAGGTTTTGAACTTTGAGTATGTCGAATTTCGTATATTTTCTGGAATTTTGTTGTAAAAGCGTATACATCGACCCAAGAATTAATTACTGACTCGGTGGAGTCGAGTAACTGGCATTACTAGTTTGTGTCTGTTCCTAGTATTTACACTTATTTTTGCATAAGTTTACTGCGTCGGCTCGAATACCGGGTCAAGCAAAAGAAAATCATGTTCAGGATGTTGGCGAATGTTTGGACGCGTGTCTGGAAAAGTACGAAAATCGTTGGTCCTGCGCCTTAGCTCTCTCCAATCGTGTCGTTTACTGACCCATCGGACTATGCAAGTGAAGGAATAGAGAGTGCAGCAGCTGTACACACACTCGTGCACTATAATTAGTGTTGCCCAAAATCGGTCTTGGTCTTGCAGTCTTGGTCTCGTTCTTGCATTTTTGCAAGACCAAGATCAAGACTAAGCCTGCGAGACTCTTGCGTCTTGCAGTTAGGAATGAGTGTCGTTTCAGGGAGTATAGGAGTTCGGGTATACGCTTAGGGACTCTATGAGACGCAAAAAATATATTAAGAAATTTGGAAAATTGGACTTATGCGCATTACGAACAATACCATAAACATACATAGCGGATGAAAATATTTATTAAAATAAAAAACAGTGCATCCCTAGTTTTGACCATCGGCACTTTGAGTGCGCGGCGTCTTGTTGTCGGCATTATCAAAGGTCGAATATTGACCTGTCAAAGAAATTTTTGCAGCTATTCGGAAGTACAAGGTCAAGATACACGCGCCGGCGGCTTCTATTGATATCGCATTCAAACGTCGCCGCCGCGCCGCACGCACTACATTTGACACTGTTTGAATGCCGCCACAGAGCACATGTTCCAAAGAATAAAATAAGTTTCCGGGTGCTCAGAATGGACACGAATACATTATGCTGATCTCGCAAGGAATATTGTAATTAGATAATGGTAAGGATAGGTAGATACAATAATAATTTATTCTAGTAAGTAATTATTATAATATTAACTATATGAGTTTATAATAATTACTTACTATTATTATTATTACCTAATAGATAAACATGTTCAATAAGTTCACTGCAAATCTCGATTTTTGGAAGTGTGTGTTTTTGAACACAAAGTGTTCGAATATGTCGTTTGATAAAATAAATATTGTAGACACTTTTAACACACTTGAAACGTGTAAACATTTTGTACAATGCTAATCGAATAATATAAAAAGTGTGCATATTAAATAAAAAGCGTAAAATAAGATCTATGTACTTTTTAGGAGCCCGAGTATCTCTTAGAGAACCTTTTAAAGAAATTGATTGCATCGAATTGATGTAAATAATAGTGATTTGCACAATTTTAATAGTAGAAATAAAAATAAAATCACAATACCTGCTTTCCGGTTACACAAAGTATATAATGCGTTCTTGGGTAGCGATATACGCTTTTATAATAAGATTCCAAAAG